ATTATTACAATTAAATGTTTGGACTTATCTTATTTAATTGTTCTCCCACTAATTTTATCGAGTTCCACTTCCCTCTAGTAGACAAACGAGAAAACTGATTTTTCTTAATGGGCTTTAGGTCCAATAGACAAATATAACCCGTAGTTAATCTAGCCCGATTATATTTGCCCTAAGGTAGATCACAATCAATCATATCCACAATATGACCCTAAATTAATTTTCCTCACACTTGATAATGACCTAAGTTAATCTCGCGAATATCAAAATCGTCGTGTGTCAAGTCTAACCTACCAATCAAAGATGCTCATAGAACTTGATTATGCCAAACTAATGCAGTCCCTATTTAATCTAGCCGACCACGTTAATCCAACATAACCCTTTTCTATGGCTACCTTCATCGCTATGTCAATTGAATTACAGCTTACTCTACCATAGCACTCCCCGCTAACACGGCTTTCTACACTACAGTAGAGGGCTACACATAATCCAACCGTTGGCAGAAGGAAAGAAATAACTCAACAGATTGGGTTTTTCCTTATAGCTTGAAATGATTCTTAATTAGATTAAGAATGAGGGGTTTTATCAAAAGTTTTATCTCATCAGAAGGTTCAGATTGGTCTATGTGATTCCTACATCTATGTTCTCTAAAGGTATATGGAAACGCATATTGTCCTAATTGGTGGATTTGGTATCTTATATGTACAAATCGAAAATTAGGTGTCCAGGAAGGAAAATTGATCAAAGAGTAAGAAAAGAGTTGCAATTAGGAAAATAAAATCAAATTAGAAGAAGGAATCCCCGAACATCCTTGGAAGTGTCCACGATGTCGAGCATAACATTCTCATCCGGACTCCAAATCAACTGATTCCGGCGGCATTGGAAAGCTATTTTAGTTGGCTACAATTCCTGTCTAATGGCAAAATTCCGAATTCGGACTCGAACATGGTCAAAATTGGATTCCAAAAGCGATCATGAAAATACGTACTACAGTTCGAGGACATGAATGCGCATCAAGAAACGTGCACAAAAACACACGCTACAAAAAAGATACGGACACAAGTAAAAGTACAAAAGCATGCACAAAAGTACTCACGGAAAAGTGCATTCGCAAAAGGGATCATGAAAACACAAACTACAATCCTAGGACATTAATACAAATCAACAAACATGCATAAGCACACTCGCTCAAATGGACATGCACAAACGTACATGTAAAAAAACATGCGCAAAAGTGCATTCGCAACAACGTTCTTAACAACACGAACTACACTACTAGGACTTTAATACGCATCAACAAACAACAACAAAAACACTAGATAAAAAAAATACAGTGGAGTGTAGAAATAAAACTCTACGTTCAGCTTTGAGTGGATTTTTTTTGGATTAATTTTTAATTCTATATTAATTGGTGGATTTGGTATCTTATAGGTACAAATCGAAAATTAGGTGTCCAGGAAGCAAAATTGATCAAAGAGTAAGAAAAGAGTTGCAAGTAGGAAAATAAAATCAAATTAGAAGAAGGAATCCCCGAACATCATTGGAAGTGTACACGAAGTCGAGCATAACTTTCTCATCCGGACTCCAAATCAACTGATTCTGGCGGCATTGGAAAGCTATTTCAGCTGGCTACAATTCATGTCTAAAGGCAAAATTCCAAATTCGGACTCGAACATGGTCAAAATTGGATTCCAAAAGCGATCATGAAAATACATACTACAGCTCGAGGACATGAATGCGCATCAAGAAACGTGCACAAAAACACTTGGTAGAAAAGAAACGGACACAAGTAAAAGTACAAAAGCATGCACAAAAGTACTCACGCAAAAGTGCATTCGCAAAGAGGATCATCAAAACACAAACTACAACACTAGGACTTTAATTCACATCAACAAACAACAACAAAAACATTAGATAAAAAAGATACAGTGGAGTGTAGAAATAAAACTCTACGTTTAGGTTTACGTGGATTTTTTTTCGGATTAATTTATATTTCTCTATTAATTGGTGGATTTGGTATTTTATAGGTACAAATCGAAACTTAGGTGTCCAGGAAGCAAAATTGATCAAAGAGTAAGAAAAGAGTTGCGATTAGGAAAATAAAATCAAATTAGAAGAAGGAATCCCCGAACATCTTTGGTAGTGTCCACGAAGTCGAGCATAACTTTCTCATCCGGACTCCAAATCAACTGATTATGGGGACATTGGAAAACTATTTGAGCTGGCTACAATTCCAGTCTAATGGCGAAATTCCAAATTCGGACTCTAACATGGTCAAAATTGGATTCCAAAAGCGATCATGAAAATACGTACTGCAGCTTGAAGACATGAATGCGCATCAAGAAACGTGCACAGAAACACAGACTGCAAAAAGATACGGACACAAGTAAAATTAAAAAAACATGCACAAAAATACTCACGCAAAAGTGCATTCGCAAAAAGGATCATGAAAACACAAACTACAATCCTAGGACATTAATACAAATCTACAAAGATGCATAAGCACAGTCGCTCAAATGGACATGCACAAACGTACAGGTTAAAAAAAAAGCAAAAGTGCATTCGAAACAACGTTCTTAAAAACACGAACAATAATACTTGGACTTTAATACGCATCAACAAACAACAACAAAAACACTAGATAAAAAAGATACAGTGGAGTGTAGAAATAAAACTCTACGTTTAGGTTTACGTGGATTTTTTTTCGGATTAATTTATATTTCTATATTAAATTGTGGATTTGGTATCTTATAGGTACAAATCGAAAATTAGGTGTCCAGGAAGCCAAAATGATCAAAGAGTAGGAAAAGAGTTGCAATAAGGAAAATAAAATCATATTAGAAGAAAGAATCCCCGAACATCTTTTCTAGTGTCCACGAAGTTGAGCATAACTTTGTTATCCGGACTACAAATAAACTGATTCTGGCGGCATTGGAAAGCTATTTCAGCTGGCTACAATTCCTGTCTAATGGCAAAATTCCAAATTCGGACTCGAACATGGTCAAAACTGGATTCAAAAAGTGATCATGAAAATACGTATTACAGTTCGAGGACATGAATGCGCATCAAGAAACATGCACAAAATTACTCGCTACAAAAAGGTACGGACACAAGTAAAAGTACAAAAGCATGCACAAAAGTACTCACGCAAAAGTGCATTCGCAACAACGTTCTTAAAAACACGAACTACAATACTAGGACTTTAATTCGCATCAACAAACAACAACAAAAACATTAGATAAAAAAGATACAGTGGAGTGTAGAAATAAAACTCTACGTTTAGGTTTACGTGGATTTTTTTTCGGATTAATATATATTTCTCTATTAATTGGTGGATTTGGTATTTTATAGGTACAAATCGAAAATTAGGTGTCCAGGAAGCAAAATTGATCAAAGAGTAAGAAAAGAGTTGCGATTAGGAAAATAAAATCAAATTAGAAGAAGGAATCCCCGAACATCTTTGGTAGTGTCCACGAAGTCGAGCATAACTTTCTCATCCGGACTCCAAATCAACTGATCCTGGGGACATTGGAAAACTATTTGAGCTGGCTACAATTCCTGTCTAATGGCGAAATTCCAAATTCGGACTCTAACATGGTCCAAATTGGATTCCAAAAGCGATCTTGAAAATACGTACTGCAGCTGGAAGACATGAATGCGCATCAAGAAACGTGCACAAAAACACAGACTGCAAAAAGATACGGACACAAGTAAAATTACAAATACATGCACAAAAATACTCACGCAAAAGTGAATTCGCAAAAAGGATCATGAAAACACAAACTACAATCCTAGGACATTAATACAAATCAACAAACATGCATAAGCACACTCGCTCAAATGGACATGCACAAACGTACATGTAAAAAAACATGCGCAAAAGTCACTACAAGAAAAACTAGTTTCAGTGACCAAATTCTCAACGACCATAACTAAATGGTCACTAAATGTTCACATTTAGTGACCAAAAGTAATTTTGTAGCAAAAGTGGGAAGGGTTAAATCTTGTTGCGACCAGCGAACATTTGGTAGCTATAAGTGGTCACTAATAGTTAGACATCTTGTAGCAACTAAAGTTAAAGTTTGTAGCGACAATTTTTATGGTCACTATAACTTAGTGTCAATAGTGACCAATTTAACATCAATTTGTTTTACGGTTGCTACGAGTCTTTAATTTAATTATTAACAACCATTTAATTGGTTTGCTAGCAACCACTTGAATTTGGTTACTATGAAACTACTTACGGAAATCAAATCGATTTGGTCACTAGTTTAATTTTTAAACAAATCAAGAAAAGAAAATTAAATAAAAGGAAGATGGGGGCGAAAATGCAAATAATAAAAAAATTACAGCCATTTATCATTCTGTCGTTTCTTCATCACAAAACATTACTATGTTCACTCTCTCCTTACGTTCTCTTTCTCTCTACCAATTCTCGCATAATATTACAGAAAATCAAGAAAATTTTATCTCTTAATTTCTTCATTATGTTTGCACCAAAATCCCTCTTATCTTACCTCTTTTGTTTTCCCCAAAAGTATTCTCCTATTTCACCCAATTTCTCCAAGCCCTAGTTCCTACCCCTGTTCGAGAATTTTTGAATTCAATAAAGGAGATTCGGAAGATTTGATTACAGGAAAATAATTGGGGATTTGAAAAGTTAATTTCACATTAGGGTTTTAAGGAAAAATAATAGTTTGGAGACCTTCGAGAATGAATCTCGTCGATCAGGACCCACCTTTGGAATAATTGTGAGTTCAGATGTACACCGGTGTTGGTGATTTCCAGCAGAGGTCGCCGATGGTGGCCGTTATCTGGACTTCAGCTTTTGGCTCTTCAAAGAATTAAATGAACGGAGGTGTTAACGGTGGAGTATTGATGATAGAAGGTATTGTTACAAACCTCGAGAAGTTAGCTTCCCATTAATGGTGGTGCTAGGCAGTTTTATTCGGCGGTGGTCGCCGAAATTTGGTGTGAATTTCAGTTTGCTCGCCGGCAAGGGAAATAAAATCTGCTACGCATCTGTTTTCGGAGCCAAAATCGAAGGGTTTGGAGTGTGAATTTGGGAATCATTCCTTCTCGAAAATCGTAGAGGACCTCGAAAACTGTGAGTAAGTGTTTAATTATTTCCAATTCAAGCACGTTTTATAGCCTTTTAGGGGTCGGAATCAGACGACAGCGAATCTGTCAAAAAACAGGGCAGTTTTGCCTAATCATCATACGGAGCTGTTTTTGTTATGTTGGAGTAATAATTTAGGTTATGTGTCTTATAATGATTTGTATATTGAGTTGTGAGGTTTTATTTGGTATATTATTTGGTCGATTTGGATAACTCTACAAATTGTTATGATATTTCAAATAAACTGTGACAGCAAACAAGTTTGTCCAAAACAATTCTGGAAGTTTTCTGTATTCAACTTTTCGGGCTTTTATTGTTGTGTTATCTTAGTAATTGGGGGTTGGTATCTTCATCACAATTGTAGATAAAGTTGTGAACTTTTATTTGGTATATTGTTTTCCCAATTCGGAAAAGCGTACGGCCTGCTACGATTTTTGGAAGAAAATGTGACAACAAATAACGTTGGTTTCTAGTTTAATGTCCATAGTTAGCATCTATATGTGTCATTAGTTCTTTGAGTCATTAGTTATTTGAAATTTTTCTTATGCACATTGAGCAACAAGTTTAAAGTAATGTGATCGAAGGTGAAGCTTAAGAAACTAATGGATTCTTATTTCAGGTGTGTCATTCGTGGTTGTGTACCTAAGAAAATTTTGGTCTATGATGTTGCTTTTGGTGCTAACTCGAGGTGAGAAGACTTTGTTATTTGAGAAAGACTTTGTTAGTTATTTCATCAATTTATATAACCAAATTTAACCTGACAGCTATGTTGGCGAAATTCTGAGAAATAGTAAACCTTCTGCCGCACCTGTTTTCGGAGCCGAAATTGAAGGGTTTGGAGTGAGATTTTCGAATCAGTCTCTTTACAAAAGTCGTCGAGGACCGTGATAATTATATGTAAGTGTTAAATTGCTTCTAATTCGAGCAAGTTTTATAGCCTTTTAGAGATGAGAATTTGACGGTAGTGAGTCTGCCAAAAACAGGGCAGTTTTGATGAATCATCTTCGTTGGGTTTTATTACGATCTTAGGATAATAATTTCGGATATATTTCTTAAGTAAACTTTTAGATGAAGTTGTCAGCTTTGATTTGGTATATTGTTTGGCCAATTTGGATAACTTTGCAAATACTTATGAATTTTACAATAAACTGTACCAGAAAAGAGAATTTATCCGAAATTCTGGCAGTTTTCTGTAATCATCTTTTGGGCCTGTTTTGCATATGCTGGGATCATAATTTGTGATCAGAGTCTTCAGTGAACATGTAGATGCAGTTGTTAGCTTTCATTTGGCATATTACGTTCCCAATTTGGATAATCGTACCAATTGTTATGATTTTTCAAAGAAATTGTGGAAACAATTGTTTTAAACCTTTGTTTCGAGAACTCGTCAAACAAACACGAGTCAACTCCGTACCATGTGAATTGATGCCTGGAGTGTGTTGTATTTGGTAAATAGAACGCCATAGAAATTGTGTATTATGTTCGATTGTCAGTTATGGCATAAGATTTAAGTTAGGATGTTTATATGAAATAGAACCGAATAGTAAATGATTATGTTAACATTCGATAACTTGTTTAATTCTAATATTTGATAGGTGTTGAGTATATTTATGCTCTCATTAAAGACTTGAGCATGACTCCAAAGTAAGGTGTTTTTATAGCACTTGCATTGGACTTCAGGTGAGAATCTCTATTTCTTCACTATTATTTATTAAATTTTGAGCGCAGATACATTATTGAATTTTGAGTGCTACTAAGTGACAAATGATTGGAATTGATTCTATCATATGATTTCTTATTTTCTAATTGATTTTTTTCCCTTTTTCAGGTTGGACTGTTTGATGAAGTGAAAGAACGTTATCGTGGAAGTCATATTTGTTGTCGCTTAACAATTTATGAAGTGGAATTTATTATGAAATAATTATAGTAATCTTTCTTATTATTTTAAATGATTGATTTATTATTGTATGTAGTATGATAGATTGAAATTATAATATTCACATTTGATTGATAATGTGTAAATTTGCAAGCTTTAGTTTTTTTTTTTTTTTTTTTACAGCCACTGTTGCAAATAAACATTAATGATTAATGCCACCAATTAATTATTGGTCTGAATTGGTCAGTAAATTTAATAATTGCCGCAATCGGGTAAAAACTATTGCAACCAATAATATGGTCACTGTATGTATATATTTTAGCAACCAACATATATATTATTTATCAACCAATATATACCGTCACTATATGTATACATATATAGCAACCAAAAAATGTGGTGGCCAAATATATATTCTATAGCAACAATAAAATATGGTCACTATACGTATATATCATTTAGCGACCAAAATTATATGGCCACTATATATGTTGCTATAGCAACCATGTTAATATAATTGCCACCATAAAATTTACATTAGCGAGTCAATAACTGGTCGTTAATAATTATATTTTTAGTGACCACTATTAGTTCGCCACTAAATCTCATCTTTTAGCGTCCAATTAATTTTCTTGTCACTGAGTACTTTTAGTAACTATCCTGTTGTGACCACCGGTGACCAAGCTTAATTTGGTCGCTATAAGTTTTAGCTACCATTTTCTAACTTTTAGCGACCATACAAAATCGTCACTAAAACCAAAATTTCTTGTAGTGAGTGCATTCGCAACAACGTTCTTAAAAACCCGAACTACAATACTAGGACTTTAATACGCATCAACAAACAACAGCAAAAACACTAGATAAAAAAGATATAGTGGAGTGTAGACATAATACTCTACGTTTAGGTTTACGTGGATTTTTTTTCGGATTGATTTCTATTTCTATATTAATTGGTGGATTTGGTATCTTATAGGTACAAATCGAAAATTAGGTGTCCAGGAAGCAAAATTGATCAAAGAGTAAGAAAAGAGTTGCGATTAGGAAAATAAAATATAATTAGAAGAACGAATCCCATAACATATTTGGTAGTGTCCACGAAGTCGAGCATAACTTTCTCGTTCGGACTCCAAATCAACTGATTCTGGCGGCATTGGAAAGCTATTTGAGCTGGCTACAATTCCTGACTAATGGCAAAATTCCAAATTCGGACTCGAACATGGTCAAAATTGGATTCCAAAAGCGATTATGAAAATACGTATTGCAGCTCGAGGACATGAATGCGCATCAAGAAACGTGCACAAAATCACTGACTACAAAAAGATACGGACACAAGTAAAATTACAAAAATATGCACAAAATTACTCACGCAAAAGTGCATTCGCAAAAAGGATCATGAAAACATAAACTACAATCCTAGGACATTAATACAAATCAACAAACATGCATAAGCACACTCGCTCAAATGGACATGCACAAACGTACATGTAAAAAAACATGCACAAAAGTGCATTCGCAACAACGTTCTTAAAAAAACGAACTACAATATTAGGACTTTAATACGCATAACCAAACAACAGCAAAAACACTAGATAAAAAAGATATAGTGGAGTGTAGAAATAAAAATCTACGTTTAGGTTTACGTGGATTTTTTTTAGGATTAATTTATATTTCTATATTAATTATTGGATTTGGTATCTTATAGGTACAAATTGAAAATTAGGTGTCCCGGAAGCAAAATTGATCAAAGAGTAAGAAAAGAGTTGCAATTAGGAAAATAAAATCAAATTAGAAGATGGAATCCCCGAACATCTTTGGTAGTGTCCACGAAGTCGAGCGTAACTTTCTGATATGAACTCCGAATCAAATGATGCCGGCGGCATTGGAAAGCTATTTCAGCTGGCTACAATTTCTGTCTAGTGGCAAAAGTCCAAATTCGGACTCGAACTTGGTAAAAATTTGATTGCAAAAGCGATCATGAAAATTACAAAAGCATGCACAAAAGTACTCACGCAAAAGTGCATTCGCAAAAAGGATCATGAAAACACAAACTACAATCCTAGGAGATTAATACAAATCAACAAACATGCATAAGCACACTCGCTCAAATGGACATGCACAAACGTACATGTAAAAAAACATGCGCAAAAGTGCATTCGCAACAATATTCTTAAAAACACGAACTACAATACTAGGACTTTAATACGCATCAACAAACAACAGCAAAAACACTAGTTAAAAAAGATACAGTGGAGTGTAGAAATAAAACTCTACGTTTAGGTTTACGTGGATTTTATTTCGGATTAATTTATATTTCTATATTATTTGGTGGATTTGGTATCTTATAGGTACAAAACGAAAATTAGGTGTCCTGGAAGCAAAATTGATCAAAGAGTAAGAAAAGAGTTGCAATTAGGAAAATAAAATCGAATTAGAATAACGAATCCCCGAACATCTTTGGTAGTGTCCACGAAGTCGAGCATAACTTTCTCATCCGGACTCCAAATCAACTAATTCCTGCGGCATTGGTTGTTAGAGTAGGTGACCAACAAGCCAACATGTGACTGTGATCTTTCGTATTTATTATTGTAATAAACGAACCTTTATTCGTATTAATGATAAAACACCTTGGCATTCTATATCTTTGTCCCTTTGTCACAAGCATAGATATAGTCCTTACAGTTATTACAAGTACTAGTAATTGATCGTTAGGATCGTGAGATATTTACTTAAGTATTATAACTGTTAAACGTGTTCCTAGTCGAAGGGCTACGCCACTAATGAGGATATCGGCCTTTCCCATTAAGACTAGCACTTAGTGTATGTGTACTGCATCTCATCAGTAAACGGTATTGTGATATCGGCATGCATAAGTGGGTGCTCGTAAGTTGACGAGTTCACTGAACTCCCTCACCCTAGAAATCTCTAAGTGGTTCCCAATAATCGAGTAGACATATCTATGGTATAGTTGTACACCATTAGTCCTTATGACCTAGACATCACCGTGACTTCACTAGAGGACCAGCTGTATCGTGACCTGTCCCTGAGTTCCACTGAGGACCATCCCAAGGGCCAGTGTTCGTGCAGTCCGAAATCTAGTGGGAGGTCTGTGCATTGTAGTCGGGGATTCGATCGCTAGAATAGTCTTGGATGTCCTGTGTGTTCTGAAAGTTTGTAATCATTCTAAGTCTCTGGCCAGAGCTGACTAAGTGATGATTAGAGAATTCGATTCTCTAAGTCATGCACGTGACGATTACAACACTTGGAACGATCGCACCGTCATCGAACATATAAAGAGGTCTCGATGAACCAATGCCTCTAGTTCGATCGGGACATATGTATCGAAGGGACCGTACTGTACGTTAACTATATCTGAAGGTTCTTGCAGGCACTTCATTTGTATCTAGGGAATCATGACGCGTAGTTGCTAGACGCCAATCTTGATTCGTTGGGTGATTGAGGTGAAACGAGCTTCATCTTAATCGTAACTCGAAGGGGACGAGTTTTGACCACAAAGGGTTGTGGGCCCACGGCTAGCTTACACCTGAACCATCGAGGGTTACACTGCTCGTGCACATGAGATCTTTGAATAAACGGTCAGAGATAAAATAGTTTATCTTTGCATGATTGGAAGTCAATACGATTGGGTCCAATGTTCGTAATTTGGAATTATGAATGAGAATAAGAAAAGTAAAAGAGTAGGCGAACGTATTAGTGAACTTTCTAAATCGGGAAGTTTCCAAATTTAGAAAGTGCACTGAACTAGGGTTTCCACTTTTGGAAAGTTGGAAAACGAGAGTTGGCACTCGTAATGACGAGGACATTATAATGATTCCGAAAATGTAATCGTTACAATTTTCCGATCATTGAATTGAGAGAGACGAGCAAGTAAAGGAACTAACGAGCTTAAGCTGTTGGGCCCAGTCCAACTTAAGCCCGTTAGGTTTTATGCAA